TATTTTTAAGCTTATTTCTGATTACTTTAAAATATATAAAGATGGTTATTTTATAGTCTGTGTCTGGTAATTTCATTATCTAAATCCTTTTTGAGTCTGTTTATTCTGTCTTGTGGTTTCTTCTGATTTTTTTTGGTAACTTTTTTCTTTATGGATTAAATTATTTATTTTAATTTTTTATTGTGGGCTGCTCCTTTTCTTTGGATTTCATTTGTGATAATTCTTTGAGGACTGGAACATAAGTGGGTTTCTCCAGAAGAGATATAAATTTACTTTTTCCAGGTGTTTTGGGATACTACCAGTTGGGGATCATTCTAAATTAAATTCTTTGCTTGAGGTTTTAAGGACCACTCAGGTAATATAATTATTACTATAAATTAGTGTGACACGTAATTAGACTATGGTTCCAAATTCTCAGGGATGGGTTTTCCTCCCTTATCTGTGCAATAGTGAAGTTCAAGAAATGCAAGCTTTATTTTTAATTCTCCTCCCCACCCTTCCCCACCTCTTCTGTCAACATATATGTAGGGCATTAGCTCTTTGGGTGGCCCAGCTTTATGACAAGAGGATCTTCTATAAGACTACTCATCTTGAATAGACCCTGGGTTTTGTCTTCATTTCCCTTTTTTTCTGTGAGGCATGAAAGGCAAAGCAAAGTTCAATTTCACTCCATGAGTTAAATATCCTCAGGACAAAAGCTAGCTGCAACACTCTCCTTATCTTTCTGGGCTCTTATCTATATTTAGTTCTTGGTCTTAAGAATTCCTTACATTTTTACTAGTTCATCACAGTATTTAAAGTTTTTAAAATAATTAAGAATTTATGGTTGTTTTGATGGATGGTCAGGATAGATACCTAGCCTGTCCATAGCTGAAACAGAAGTCTATTCATATATTCCTAAAAGACAGTTAAGCCTGCTAAAGAAATTGGCATCATCATAAATGATATGGTATACTTGAAATAGTATGGTATATTCAAATATATTCTCAATTATATGTACTAAAATTAACTAGGTGATAATCTGGATACATTTTGTATTTTTATTTTCAATTTTTAAAGTTTAAATTAAAATTGTCTATGTAAAAAATACAACATTTCTTACAGAAGTTGTTCTTCCATACTTACAGTGTAACCTTTCATTGAGACGATTAAGGGACTGTAGAATCTTCTGTTCTTCAGCTGATAGTGTGCAGATGTTGAGTTGCTGTGTCTTATTTAAAGCCATATTTGGTTTCTGTAGCTGCTTGCTATTCATGACAGTTAGAATTTCATCCTCAGGCACTGATGCGTTCACTAGGTTTTCAGCCATCAAAAACTCAGAGGTACTATCTGAAACTACAGAAAGTTTACATCAATCATTCTTTGATCCTTTTTTGTCTTTGAGATCAGCCCTGATACATACTTAACTGATGTATGTCTGTATGTATTCATTTCACAAACAGAAACCCAGTAAATATTCTGTTACTTTGGATTTTATTTATCAGGATCCTCTATCTAGCATTTTCCCATGCTTAATTAAAAAAAGGATATTCAAAATGATGGCAGTGAGAATAAAAATTCTTAGAGTGTTAACTGAACTAAAGAAAAAAATACATTAAGTTTAGGTAATACGGTTTTTGTGTTGTGTGTTTGTTATTCATTGGTGGTACAAAAAGAAGATGAAGGAGATTGTCTTTATTAAAGCAGTCATAATGAACTATAAATAAAACAGTAAGTGAAAGGGAACTTAAGGAAAGATTAGAAAATTTGATGATCAGCTGAACAGAACTGACAGTCTAGAAACAAACTCAATTAGATATCGGAACATATGGTCAAAGAAGCTTCAAAATTTGGAGAGAAGGGAAAGATGATTCAATAGTTTGTTGCTTATAAAAGAATCAATTTGGAGTTTCACACTGTCCATTTAAACAAATTCCAAAGAAATTAAAGAGTTAAATTTAAGAAATCAACCTAATAACTAAAGCAACATAGAAGAAAAAGAAACAAACATTTCCAAATTTCTGTTTTGGGAAAGTTCTTTGAACTTAAAAGTAATGGAGAAATCACTAAGAAAAGACTAAAACATGTTTACTTAAGGTCAGCCTTCTCTAATAGACTTTAAATTTCTGAAGGGCAATACTTTTGTATGTTTTGTTCATTATTGTACAGGTTGAGTATCCCTTATCTGAAATGCTTCGGATCAGAAGTGTTTCAGATTTTGGATTTTTTAGAATTTTGGTATATTTTCATATACATAATGAGATGTCTTGGGGATAAGATCCAAGTTTAAACATGAAGTTCATTTGTTTCATATGGACCTTATACATAGCCTAAAAGTAATTTTATACAATATTTTAAATAATTTTGTGCATGAAATAAAGTTAGTGTACATTGAACCATTGGAAAGCAAAGGTATCACTATCTCACTCACCCATGTGGACTATCTGTGGTTGTTTGGCATCATCACCATTTCTGACTCAATTCATATGCTACTGATGAGCAATCATTTTTTCACATTTATTCACACTTAAGTACTTAACAGTAAAAAATATGACATGCCAAAAATATAATGAAAAAATTATGTGTTCAGGATAACAATTAAGCAGCACAGTAGCATCACTAGAATTAGCTGTTAAACAGCAGCAACAACAAACAATAGCAGGCTTTCGGTCTCCACCTATGATACTGTGTTTTGATTAAAAGGTTATTACTGTACACTGTCTTTTTTTTTGGTGAGAAGAAACATCCGAAGCAGTTCATGGACCAGGAGTGGGTTTTCCAGGAATGAGGAGGCATTCTACTGGATGACTTTTCTAAATGTTTCCTTCAGAGTCATCTGCCTCATTAACAACGTTTTTTTGTCTTAGAAGCCTCTGTTTGATTTTATAAAGTGACATGATTTCTTGTTGTTATTAATATACAAGCTGCTCCAGTCCTTCAATAAGCCCATCACATATTTTCACCATGTTGTCAATAGGCACTTTTTCTTGCAGTATTAACAATGTCGTCTTCATCATCATTATTATTATGATCACCTTGATTTAGAACAATTTCAGCTATTTCACCATCGGTCAATGAATGAAAAACTGGAGCCTCATTATCGGTGTTTAAAACTTCTTTGACATTTCCTTCTTCCAGCTTACTGATGGACTCTGAAGGGAAAATTTTTGCATATGTAAGGAGGTCAGACATCATTTTTTTCTCACTTGACATATGGAATCCTTCAAAGTCACTACTCTGTTCATCATCATCACTGAACACAGTCGCCTGCCAGAGGTTGTGCAAGACTTGCACAACTGTGTCTTTAGTCACTGTGTTCCAAGTGTTGGCAACAGTATATACTTCATCCTTCATGCTAATCTCCTTTTGAAAACCTTCCACACCCATGCCTTTGTTCACTGCTGCTAGCATTCTGTTCAAGAAAGTGTTTTTATATTTACTCTTCATTGATCTAAGGATACCCTGGTCACCTGGCTGAATTAATGGAGTCACATTTTGGGGAAAGTACATGGCATAAACATTATTTTTGATAAGAATTTCAGCTGGAGAATGAGCAGAACAGTTGTCAAGGAATAACAAAATCTTGCAGTTGTCATTCATTCAGTGTACGTCCCAGGTACAAAATGGTTGTCAAACCAATCAGAAAAGATGTCCTTGGTGATCCATATCTTTTTGTCAGCATGTAATGGACTGGTAAGAAATTCACTTCTTAAAAACAGCAAGGATGCAAGCTTTTGCCTATTACAGCAAGTTTACATTTATGCGTGCTTGCTGCATTAGCACAACCCAGCATAGTTATTCAGTCCTTGACAGTCGTAATTCTTACAGGGGCTGTCTCATCAGCTGTAGTCAGTGTCTTTCTGTGACAATAATGCCAAAACATTGATACTTCGTGAGCATTATATACTTGTTTTGGTGTCATGTTTTCATCAGCAACAACCTTGGCAAATCTTCAATGAATTTCTCCATTGCTTTGTGATCAGCAGATGCTTTATCACCGCAAATCCTTAAAAATTTAATGCTGTATCTTATCTTAAATTTCTGTAACCTGCCTCTGTAATATTCACATTCCCTTCAATTTTCTGTTCCTCATGATAGATCTTTGCTTGTTTCATTTTTAGCATACCATATTAAGTGGCATGTGTTCATTGTGATGCCGAGAGATGCACTCTTTCAATACATGATTGAGACCTTCATTTTTAGCTTCATGCAGTATTTTTCTATTTTTCATTAACTTCAGTTCATAACTTCCAGCATAGAACTTCAGCAGTTTATCCTTCTGTTTCTTCAGGTCACATATGGTGGTCATTCCAACACCATACTCTTCTGTAAGATGTTTCACACTTACACTGCTGTCCAGTTTCTCCAACAGCTTGACTTTCTATGCTATAGATAATATAAAGTCTTCTTCTTTTCTTATCACTGTCACCTATAGGGGTATCTGCAGGCCTTTTTGACATGTTCAACAATATTTTTATATCATAAAGGAGAGAATAAGCAAAAAAATACAGTGAGTAATGCATATCGGTCTTGGTCTCCATGTGGGGTCTGGTAAGGAACCTGCTTGTTGTTGGCGCACATGGCCTGCACATGTGCTATTTCATTACTCTTTTTGGGTATGCTTGTGTGCAGAAATCTGGGCATGCATGGAAAAGATATATCACAGATGAAGGGAGTTGGGAAGGTGTTTTTCCCTTTGGGAATGCTGAATAAACTGTATGTTGTGTGCCTGTGTTTTGACTGTGAGCCAGCACATAAGGTCAGGTGTGGAATTTTCCACTTACAGCATCAAGTCAGTGCTCAAAAAGTTTTGGATTTTGGATTTTGGATTACGGATGCTCAACCTGTATATACGATATGTATTTATAAGCAGAAAATTAGCTCTCAACAATCATCTATTGGACAAATAAAAATTAAAACTTATATATGTAAAAATATAACATAAGTGGAATAAGATGCAAATAATAAAATAGAGAAAACATTTGTAACTAATATAACAATTAGAATCCTTGATATTTAAAGAATTTGCAGAAATCAGTAAGA